ACTTTATGCTCCTCAATTGCTACATGCAGAGATATGCTCCATTTGGTGCCCATCAACTGCAGAATGATAGCCTGCTCCACCATGGGCTTCTCAATGGGCTGCAGAAGAGCTGCTCCATGCCTGAAGCATCTCCTGCCCTCCTTCTGCACTGGCCTTGGTATCTACAGGGCTTTTTCTCTTACATTTCTTATTCCTCTGTACCAGCTACTCTTACACAGCAGATTTCATCTTTCTTAAATCTCCTATCCCAGAGTCACACCCAGTGTTGCTCATGGCTCAGCTCTGGTCAGCACTGAGTCCTTTTTGAAGCTGGAGCTGGCTGTTGATCGAACATGGGGCAGTTGCTGGGCTCTGTTCACAGAGGCCACCCTTGCAGTCCCACAACTGTGCAAAACCTTGCCACCTAAGCCAAATACAGTGGCAAAACAGCCAATCTGGTAACTTAGTCAACGGGAATGAGAACCTCTGTGTTGCGCAGTTGATTGTCAGTTATTTTCTGTGATATTTGGTATTTATGCTTCTTCTGTATGACTGGGAACTGTTTCCTTTCAGGTTTAGGTAGCTGCTCTGTGCTGTCTCTTGGCTTGTATTGAATTTAGAAGCCTAAGGTACTTTTTGCTACGTGCTTCCTTTGAGCATTTTTTTCTGTCTATACTAAAAACATATCTCTATTTGGTACCACCTTGTGAATGCATCACTATCACTTTAAACTTTAAAAGTAGATACTTTAATGTTTTCTTTCTGACTATCCAAATACTAATTATTACCTTCAATATGCACATTGTTGCTTGTTTTTCTGGACTGTATATTGGCTTTGTTTCAGATCTGATTTTAAATACAATTGTTTAGATGTTGCTGGTCATTTACGCAGCAGATCTGCAATATATGACATTTCTAGCCACATAGATACAATCATTATTCTTTTAATATTACATCTTTATTTTCCCTGACTCAATTATTGTTTGCAGATTTAGAGTACTACTTTAAAGGTCTTTTTCTAGCCTTTTAGTGCGGTCTCTCCATTGGTCTTTCTTTGATAATAGGATATGTTCCTATCTTTCTATCTTTCTATCTCTGCATCAGAGATTACTTTCAATTTTCTTTTCATTTTTTCACTCTAATTATATTTATTACTGAAAGATACTTTTTTTTTTTTTTTACATAAAGAAGTCCATGATGTTAACATTGCCTTTACATGTTTTATAATGCTTTTGTACTTGAGAATGACCTACACAATGATATTAATTTCACTTCCTGAAATAGTCTTTGAAACTTCTCATTTATGATATACAGGACATTGAGTGCACTGCCAGGTAAATATACAGAATACAAAATAGTATTTATCAGTTTTTCTTTGTCCGTTTCTTATCTGTTGCATAGCTTACAAAATCCTGTTGGGGATGCAGGCAGTATCTGAAATGCTCCATTTGTTCTATGCTTCATAGTATGCCAGTATAATGGTACATTTAATCTTGTAATTCCAGGAATAAATTGTTAGACTTTATTTGACTGATTGAGAGAGTGTTCAGTTTTGGAAGGAAAAGCAATATCTTTTTCAGCAACGGTCTTGGCCTATCACAACACTGTCATTCATGTTCAACATTTGGTGGGTTTTTGCCAGAAGTCATTTTTCTTAATATCATGGTCCCTGGCCCTATTACAGTAGTGACAACTATATTATGAAATGTGGTGGAGAAAAAATTGCTTTTCTGAATTCATGTACAATTTATATTGCCTTTGCCGTATTTTTCAATTTTCAGTGCTTAAATTTCTCTTAAGAGAATATGAAATAACACTTTGCATGCGCTTTTTTTTTTAGGTTGAATTAATTCGGCATTTAATTTTGTAGGTAATAATCTACAGTCATTGTCTCTTTAAAAATTATGTATAGTACCAGAAGTTAGAGTAGTTTTGTTATGAAAACATGAAAGAAAGCAATTATATATTTTAACAAAATTTTCAGTTTCTCTTTCTTCTTAATTTGCCACTTTGTTGCAGAAATAATAATGGGTTATATGTTTATGGACAACATTGGTTTTGTAAGTCTCTATGGGAACAACTGTTTAAATAAAATGTTTTGTAAGTTTGAGAGCATGACGATGCACACAGCAATACCTCAGTATCTCTCTCAGGCGAGAGATTCCTGCTGTTGGTAGTCCACTGCATGCTAACTTTAACCACTTCCAACTTCAGAAGTACTAGTTAATACTAAGTATTAATTAAAATCACAAACATTATAATTTGAAGGTTACTATTTTCTGAAAAAAACATTGACATTGCAGTCCGTGGTTGTATTTCCTAGATAAAATTTATTACTGCCACCTCATCCTTGTGTGGAAACAGAAGAATGTTCCTATAAAATTGCCAACAATCATATCACAGAATCACAGAATGGCCACAGAATGGTTGGAAGGGTCCTCAAGGATTATGAATCTCCAACCTCCCTGCCACATGCAAGACCACCAACCTCCCCATTTAATACTATACCAGACTGCCCAGGGCCCCATCCAATCTGGCCTTGAATACCTCTAGGAACAGGGCATCCACAACATCTCTGGGCAGCCTGTTCCAGCGCCTCACCACTCTCATGGTAAAGAATGGAAGTTCTGACATCTATCCTAAATCTTCCCTCCTCCAACTTAAAATCATTTGTCCTGCTGTTACCTATCCTTTCAGAGAGTTGACTCCTCTCCTGTTTATAGGCTCCCTTCAGGTACTGAAAGGCTGCAGTTAGATCACCCCACAGCTTTCTTTTCTCCAGGCTGAACAAGCCCAGATCCTTCAGCCTGTCTTCGTATGGTAGGTGCTCCAGTCCCCTGATCATCTTTGTGGCCCTCCTCTGGACCCTCTCCAACAGCTCTCTTTCTTGTACTGGGGGCTCCAGACCTGGACACAGTACCCCAGATGGGGCCTCACAAGAGATAGAAGGGGATAATCACCTCCCTGTCCCTGCTGGCCACTCCTCTTCTGATGGAACCTGGGATACCATTTGCTTTCCAAGCTGCAAGAGCACACTGCTGGCTCATGTTAAGCTTTTCATCCGTCAAAACCCCCAGGTCCTTCTCTGCAGGGCTGCTCTCAAGGACTACTCTTTCCAGTCTGTATGGATGCCTGGGATTCCTCCGGCCCAAGTGCAAAACC